TTGGGTGGAATGTTTGGTGATTGGATGCAAACGGCGTACATGTACTTAACACAAGAGTGTGACATAAGTAGGAGACGTGCAAGACAGTAAGAATCTTGAGTTGGATCATATCACTACAATACGAACGTTACTTCACTACGTAACTTTTTTTTTCTTTTTGGAATCTGCCTCTCTATTTTTGGTCTCGTAAATATTTCTACACTTCTTCACGACGTTCCTTTTTAGGAATTTTTCCAACTACAAAATTCGAAAGGAATAAGTTTTAGCATCATTCTCTTCCCCACGTTCTCGTAAATTCCCTTTCTTGCTGTTTTGTTCTTTAATGTAATAACAAATTAAGAGATTTCGTATCACTTTTAATCATGAAACTTTCACGTAGCAATAAAGTATCTAAGCTGTGAAAGCTTACCGACTCAAAGAAAATATCAAAGTATATGATTCTTTTTTGTAATTGAATCCATACAAGAATCTTGTAACATACAAATCCACCAAAATAAAACTAATTATCTCAATAAAATAATAAATCTTCCAACAATATTTTAAAAAACCTAAAAAAACTACCCAACTTTTTTTGCTTGTTGGTTCAATAATAAAAAACCACACATATATAGAAAACGAACAATGGTTCACTTTTCACTGTAACCTGACCCAAACACCTTCACTTGGTATATCTTGGTTCACCACGAAAACGATGTAATAACCGGGCGGTGCAAGATTAACCGATCTTGGTATCCTAACCCTAACCTCATAAGTCGAAAGACCAACCCTCATTGAGATAACATGATCAAGAACCAAAAGTCTCTGATGCATCGAGAAAGAATGTGTATTAAACGAAGGAAACACCATTGTCACTTTAACCGGACTTTTCACTCTTCCGGTTACATCAAACCTTAACCTCAAGATTTGACCGTAATTGATCGTTGACTGTGAAGCAAGATTCACAATCTTTGGTCGAAGACTCGAGAACTGAGATTCCAAATACGACGGCGAAAAAGCCTCTAAGCTAAGCTCCGTCGGGAAAAGCACGCCGGTGAAATTGTAAAACTCGTGCGGGTTGCTTCCTCCGACGAGAACTCTCCCGTCGCGGAGTAGTATCGCGGTTGAATGATACATTCTTGGAATAGCGTTTGCGTTCTGAACAAGGAATCTTGAACCGACCGGTTTATCAGGACGGTAAAGATCAGGATTTAAAACCGGTTCACGACCAAGCTCCCAAGCAGCTGTTCCTGAAGAACCACCGTTAATTAACAGAACATGTCCGTCAGGTAAAAGAATCATGTCTCCCATAACTCTAGCTCTAGGCATCTTCTCAACGATCCATTGAGGATTAGCATCGTTGATCTTGATCCTCGCACACGTGTCAAGCGCTTTCAAGAAAGTGTTTCTCCTTAACGCGAGGTTAAACGATCCTTTAGGTGCACCACCGCACACCATAACCTCTAGCTCGACCATCGTCTCGTCTTCAAGATTCTTGATCGGAAGTAAAACAGAGGAGCCAGTACTCGGATAGCTTCTCGGATCGCCTCCAGGGATCTCTGGATACGTTTTCACGACTACGTTGTTCGTATAATCGAGTAAAATCGCTCTGTTGTTAGCGAATATGAACAAGTTTCCGTCGCGGTTTAGGAAAACGTTAGGGTAGAGATTGTTTTCGTCGTTAGGATCGTTGGTTTGTGACAAGAATGGTAAGGTAAAGAGATCTGGACCGTTTGTTTTAGGGTAAAACTCGTAGTTGAACTGATCTCGACCTCCTATGATAATCTGACGACCATCGGGAAGAACATGGTTCGTAGCGTACCATCTTCTTGCAGCGAGTCCGTTATCAACTTCAGACCAATCACAAGTATTGTTGTCGCAAGGAGAGAAGAGTCTAGCTTTACGTTCACCTTCTCTGTCTCCTCCGGTTTGGAGTAGAGTACCGTCTGGTGTGAGTCCCCCAGAGGAGCACCATGTGTTGGATTTGACGGTTAAGGGACGGATGCGGTTTAAAACGACGTCGTATTCAACAGAGTGAGCGGTGCAGTCGCGCTTCGAAACGATGTCGTTTGGACTGTTGAGGCATGTTCCGTTAGGTAGAGAGATGTTTGAGGGACCAAAGTTGGATCGGTCGTACATTATGACACNGTCGTTACGGAGGAGCTGTGAATGCATTGCTGATATTCCGACGTTTGGTAAGAGAAGCTTCCATGTTCCTCCGGCGCCGGAAGCCACGTAGCAGGAGAGGAGGAAGAAGAGAGCGAAGTAACGGAGATGATTGAGGTCGGTGAGGATTTGGGGTTTGGTTTGTGCAGCCATTTTTTTGTAATATTAAGTTTATGTCACGGATTTGGTTTTTTAAGTTTGTGTGGTACATATATAACTGTCCCTGAGCTCTACTTTATATAGGGTTTGGAGAAAAGAAGCAATTATAAATGTCATGACGTTAATAAAGCATACTAATGGAAAACTTTAGCAATAATTCCTAAATCATTTTGCCAAATTTCTCGTTTTTTCTTAAAAGTTTTAGTTTAAAATGGAAATTCTATAAGTTTACTTAGATAAAATTAAGTAATATGGACTTTTTTCTTAACGAGTATTTCTTTTGCTTTGAATTTAGGTATAGTTCAAACAGTATTTTGAAAATTGAAAATTAAATAAATTTTCAAAATTTCCATAATACATAGGGTAAAATTTCGCCTTATTATTGCTTTCTCTGTATTTGTTCGAAATTGGAAT